AGGGGTGTGGGGGGCGCGGGAAGAGACTGGACAAAAATCGTACACCTATGGACGAGGACAGTGCGGGGGGGTAAGGGCAGAGGGTGGGGTGGGAATCGAGTAGAGGGGAGCTATGGGTGGAGAAAAGAGGAACAACTGTAATAATCTGAACAATAAAGATTTAATTAAAAAAATCATACTAGGGCTATTTTAAGTCTTAAAGAAATGAAAATTTTCAAATGACATAGCAATAATTAATAATTACTATTTTTTAAACTTATTACTATTCTGATTTGAAAAACACAAACCTGTCATCTTTTTTCTGCACCAGGGTGTTAATGATAGGTCTTGCATTTAGAATTCCAATGGCAAGTAAAGAATTTAGTACCGATTACTTTTAACAGGGGTGTGGGTAAGGGAAATGAGTTGGGAATGAAGGGAGAGACATGTTTTCTTTCCAGACATGGATTAACTCTTTGCACAGTGGATTTTATATTTCGGATGAGCATTTTGTCCTAACTCCAGCACCTGGGCACATAAAGGGAATGACCTCCATACTGTTCACCCATTTCATCCAAGTTTTAGACTGGTGTTATGTCCATAATATGCTCTATTTAAATGTTTCACCACAAAACAAATAATTCCTAGCGAATTTACCAATAAACAAATAGAAACTCTGTGTCCATACAAAACCTTGCAACTTGGATATACATTTCATAACAGTCTAACAGTAACCTTTACACACACCAATTGTGATCTGCTTATAGTACACTTCTTAGGACTTCATCAGTATACCCAAGTAAACCATTTCCTGATTTTTTTTGTAATGGGCAACATGCCAAAAAGTTCTTCATTCACATCAAAATTCTCATTGAAATCGTGAAAAATTATACATAACTCTATGGTATTTTTATATATGTGCTCTCATAAACTACAAAAGAAAATACCACAAGAAATCTAATTTTTCCACATAGTATGCCCTATTTGGTCTCAGTAATTTCTTCAAAACAGTGACAGAAATACTTCTAGTTCAACATACAATTTCTGCTGTGATTAATAGATATTTTTATAAATCTAGCATTTATAAAATACTACAGGCCCGGTACTCAAAATTCATGCACAGGGGGGTGTCCCTCAGCCCAGCCTGCACACTCTCCAATCTGGGACCCCTCGGGGGATGTCCCACTGCTGGTTTAGGCCTGATCCCTCTCACAATCCAGGACTTCTGGCTCCTAACCCCCACCCCCTCCATGCATGCTTGCCTGATTTCCCCTAACTGCTTCTAACTGCCAGCCTGATTGCCCCCGAACCACTCCCCTGCCGGCCTGGTCACCCCCAACTGCCCTGCCTGGCTGGCCCAGTTGCCACCAACTGCCTTCCTCAGCCAACCTGATGGCCCCCAGTTGTCCTCCCCTGCAAGCCTGGTAACCCCCAACTGCCCTCTCCTGTCAGCCTGGTCACCTCCAACTGCCCTCCCTTGCCAGCCTGGTCTCCCCTAACTACTCTCCTCTGCTGGCCTGGTCACGCCTAACTGCCCTGCCTGGCTGGCCCAGTTGCCACCAACTGCCTTCCTCAGCCAACCTGATGGCCCCCAGTTGTCCCCCCCTGCAAGCCTGGGAACCCCCAACTGCCCTCCCCTGCTGGCCTGATCGCCCACAACTGCCTGCCGCTGCCGGCCATCTTGTGGCTGTGGGCACCACCATCTTTGAGGGTGGGGAAGTCAATTAGTATATTCCCTCTTTATTAAATAGGATTTGTGACAGTGTGAGGGTCAATTACCCATCTTTGTGACAGTGTGAGGGTCAATTAGCATATTCCCTCTTTATTAAATAGGATTTTAATGCCTAGGAAGGTTTGTTGCTTAATGCTTAACTGCATTTCCCAGTAACAACACTTAGTGTATGCATTCAAACACAAAACTTATTGGACTTTCAGGTTCAATAAACAAATAAGCAATAAATACATAAAAAAAAATCCGGGAGGAGAAACCAAGATGGCGGCATAGGTTAACGCTGGAGTTTGCTGCCTGGAAAAACCACTTCAAAAATACAACTAAAAGACTGAACGGACATCACCCAGAACCACAGGAAGGCTGGCTGAGTGGAAGTTCTACAGCTAGGAGGAAGGAGAATAACATACGGAGACTCAGAGGAGGCGCAGTGCTGAAGTCAAATACTAAGGTATGGAGTGCATGCAGAGCAGGCTGGAGTCGGAGGGTGTGGTTGTCTTTTTCAATCAGGAGGGAGTCTCAAGCCCCCGACTGCTCTGAACTCCAGTTCCGGGCGACTCTCTAGGGACCCAGACTCATACGGGGAAAAACTGGACTGTCTGGCATCGGTAGGAACTTGAGGGCGGCTTTCTCTCAGAGGTGCTTGCAGCAATTACCGCGGGATACTGAGACCCGGGGCCTCTTAGGGCAGGGCTGCGGATCAGCCATA